ATAGATCATCGGTCAAATATGACCAATCTGTCATATTTGTCAACTAAATCAGATGATCGCCGCAGTTACAGATCACGACTTCAATGAATAAGGTCTAAAGTTTAATCTGAACTTGATAAAGCGGGGGATCCTAAAGTTTAATCTTATCATCTCGAAATTGATTATGTAAATTATTTCATTTAGTTAACAAAGCCTCCCATTTGAATTAAATAATTAAATTGATACTGCTTTTTAATTGTATAATTTCTATATCGCAAATTTATGATACGTTTGAAGTATTTTTAATCGCACTATTTTTCTTGCATCGAAAAAGAATCGATTTGCATGCTGCGCCATACTTAACGACTGCGCAAAAGATTAATCCAATATAATTGTTTTTTAAATCATTTTATTTTACATTATCTTATATATTTACCTTAAATTAATAACAAATTATTTCATTAACTAAATTTTCAGCAATTTTACCAAGATTTTTTTAATACCATAGCTTTTTAAAAATTCTATTATTTTCATCACTAACTTATTACTTAAATCCATATATTAACATTACTATTTTAGTAGGTTTGGAATAAAAAGCCTTATCTTCCCATATGTCCGAATGATTTATATAGATTTGTTCCAATAAATAAATTTCAAATTATTTTTTTTTAAGATACACCCAAAAATTTTCGGTGACATTTTTTCCGGAACCATACATAAATAAAAAACTTTGGCACAAATTTTGTTGAGAAAATTTGCAATAACTGAGATTAAAATTCCGTTATATTTCGCTCAATTTTAAATATCTATTTTTCTTTAAAAAAATAAAAGAGATCATAACAGCTATAAATTTTCAATTGCATATCTAAGTATATAAGAAATTTTAATTAGTTGGTACTGCTTTACTTTTATTCTTTATTATTTTTTTTTTAATAAAATAAAGAAATCTTTCTTTTTAAGGGTATACAGAAAATAAATTGTCATTCTGTATTCGTATCTTTTGTGTTGTCTACTAAAAGAATCCAGGGTAAGTGAAAATTGATCGAATTGGATAAATGATTAGCCGTTATCTCTAACTTTCTAGGATATAACTCTGCTATTTTCATAATTATATCGCTTATTCATAGTTTAAATAGCTTATTAATCTACAAACCAAAATTTTAAATCTTGATTTAAATAATTTTAAATAAAGTCTTTCGAAATTTTAAATTCAAAAAATAAGGATTTTTTCATAAATGAAAGATGAATTAATTAATTTAAAAGTGCTTTACTTTCTTTAATATGCAAAAAAAAAAAATTTCTGCTATTAAAGAAACATAATTATTCTTGTATAGCTTTAAAAAAATTGCAAATCATTCTCTACGAAAATGTACTGCTTAGAAATTAGATGATGAGTTGAATTTACAAGTTATAATAAATCTATATACAAAATTAAAAATTGCAAAGCTGGCTCTTCCAGATTTGCTAAGGTAATTTGTTTGATTATATATTAAAGATTCAATATAACCTTATAAATTTATTACAAGAATACATACATAAAAAGATATTTTAAATATAGAGGAAAATTGGAAAATTACTTATAAAAGAACATATGAGTGGTATGTTTTTAAAAATTGAGGTACGAGACATAGTAAATCATATGATCTGTACCTCAATTTTAATAGATCACCACTCATATGATCCGTAAGGTGATTTTAATAGCCGACCATCCATATGCCGTAGGTACTGGACCCATCATTTATTTTTTTTTATTATTTATTATTAATATTTTTTTTTTTGTGAGGAATAGGGATGCTAATGGTTACGGTTATGACCGGTCATAACCGTAACCGATATCAGTCGGTCAAAGGTTTCTGACCGAGAGATTTTGACCGATTTTGACCGACCGGTTGACCAAACATTTTTTAATTAGTAATCCAAGAATTCATTTATTTTTTAAAAAAGTTCGCGATAATGCTGTAAATATGAAAGTAAACTTAATATGCATATCGAGTTAGCCTAAAAGAAATAAGTAAAATATATAAAAAATCGGAGTTTTAGCAAATAACATGTTAGCATTATTTAAAGCTTAAATTAAATTAAAATTATCGATCGAGAACTTTAAATTATATTATTGTTATATAACCGGTCGGTCGGTCAAAGGCCTCTGACCGACCGTTGACCGACCATGACCGACCGTTACCATCCCTAGTGAGGAAGCATATATTTAGTGAACTCCAAAAAAAAAAGAAAAGAAATCAATCAATATTATTTATAAAAAATATATATTTTATCCATCAAAAGATCTATAAAAGTTGATTTTGAAACACCAGAATTGAAAAATCATCCAAAATGTATTCAATTTTCCTCTTAGCATTGTTGGACATTTACCTATATTTAATTGGATGTCATATATTTCCAAATCCATATTGACACGACAGTAATTAGTTAATACTTATTTATGAAATTTTATTTTAATAACGAATAATTTCCATAAAAACGAAAATCAGTGATCGATATCCATATTATTTTTTTTTCTTGCATCGGAAGGAATTTTTTGAATGACTTTTTTTACGTGCTCAAACAAACATGTTTTTCATTTGTAGTTAATATTGAAATGCACATTATTACGTCATATACCGTATTTTGTTTTTTACATTATTAAATAATATTTTTTTATTGTAAGATTTTACAATTAGAACCATTTCATATTTTGATGACTTTACTTTTGATTTGGGGATTTAAATGTCATTCAAAATCAACACTGAAATTAAACTTCCAAATACAAACCAATACCAAACCAGCGCTATCACTATGAACATTCCCATTTTCAAATTTTTCTTCATCTAATCTCTTTTGCTACTACATATAATCAGGTACTGCAGTTGATAATGTTCTGTTTTAATATAATGTACTGTACATAAATCAAGTGAAAGTGCAATACATAGAGATGGGAATCGGCTCGTCGGTACGTGAAGATCAATTTGATAATCTAATTGTTCTATTACGTTCGGAGCATTGTGTCCCAAAATTGTTTTAGTTTATTTTGGTTTATCGGAATATAGTTAGTTTTTTTGTGATCAATTGGCTAATTTGTCCTTGCTAAAGGGTATAAAAGTTCGCTTGGAAAGAAAGGTATGTCCCTAGAAAAGTAAATTAGAATAGCGCCTTCGCACTTATTGTAACGATTTCGAAATAGTAATTAAAATACGTATCTGATCGTATAGAGCGCCGATTATTGATTTATTTATGTAGTTTTAGATTAGTATTTCGTTGTTATTAAAATATAACCATTCTGCTTTCGTTTACAACCCATAAACGTAAATAACTGCGCATAACAATAATTGCCAGAGTCGGTTCCGGAGTCGTTTCCAGTTCCATTTTTTTTAATAATTATTTAAAGTAGTTCCAAACTCAGGAGATTCAGAATCTGTTGAATTTAGAATCGATTTCAGAACCAACTCGACTTATTTTGAGCCGATAACATCCCTAAATACATACTGTACATGAGGATTCAAAAAAAAAGATTATGAAAATTATCATTAATTTTGCAAATTTAAACTGTAAAAACGTATAGTTGTAAATGGCAATAAGTGACAATAAAAGTTACACTGTGAAATTATATTAAACCAATTAACAAATGATAGAAATAGATGCGATATATCAAGCAATCTTGAAATTTATTAAGTTCAATTTTATTGACGAATAAAAAAAAAATCGAAATCAAGGTCTCTCATCTTTTTTATGTAGTTCCCAATAATTATTATTCACGGTCCAATATCAAAAATAATCAAATTGTAATAGCTTTTTTGCTACCCAATATAAAAGTTGTGTCCTTATTATTAGATCGAAATAACATATATTACATGTATTTTTAAAATTTACCTTAGCCGAAGCTTCGTATGGCAGTGATGTCAAGTGATCTAAATGGCCTCAAATGACTAAATGACAAATGACCTTAAATGATTAAAATTTTGACACTGATATGGCGTAGCATATAGTGTTTATTAAAAAAAAAATAGTGAATACGTATCGTATCGTATCTTTATAATTACTTTTTTTAATATTTTTATTTTATCAAAAAAAATGAAAAAATTTTTTATTCTTTATTAATATAAATTTTAAAATTAAACACAGAATAATAAAAAAAAATATATAATATAATTTCAAAAAATATCAATGTTAAAAAAAAAGAAATTCTCTAAAATCGAGATTCATTCCGTCAAATATATTTTTCCTATTATAAAGTTAAGTATTAGAATTTATTAATTTTGCTTGAAAATAAAAATAAATAATTTGGATCTTTACCTTGATTTTAGAGCTAACATATGTATATGCAGCATAAATATGACATATTAATAAGGATTCCGGAAAATTTTTCAGTAATTCATCTGAAATTTCGACCGGCCACAAATTAAGCCCTTCATCTTTTATATAAAAGCTTAATGGAACTTGGTCCTTATCAAAATTCTTTAAAAATCTTAGCATAAATCTTTTCAATGCTAGAACAAATACTTCTGCTGGTATACGTTTTTTATTCGTTAGAGAACGTTCAAATTCAATAGCATAATCAATTTCATCCTTCACCAATTTTGTTAGCTCGATTTTAAATTTGTCATCAATATATTTTACCACGGAATTTGCAACTTGTTCTTCGATCAATTCATACAGATCTATTAAGTGTTTGAGACTTAATCCGATTTTCAATAAATTGTTGAATGATTTGTTTTTTGTTAATACAGATAATTTCATCCATTGATTAACATAATCATTAATTTTTGTCTCTTCACTTCCAATCGATGTACGTTTTACGAAACAAAGTAAAATTTCTAATGAAGAAAGAAGTTCAGATGCGCTATCATAAGATAATGAATAATTATTATGATAATCACTGTGTGAAGTGCTAGTTGGTACCACACCCATGATCAGAGAAATCTTATCAGATGGAATTTTCTGTTGATGAATCGAAGTTTTGATGTCACCAAGAATTCTCATATATCCTTGGAATAATTCCATGTGATATGGGAAAGATTCCATATATGCTTGTGATCCATTCAAAGTACTTATATGAACTTTTTCAAAAACTAATCTACGCGCAAGCTCCATTTCGATCTTTTGTAAATCATAAATTATATCCTGACCACGTCCAACTTCAAGATTACGATCACTATTTTGGAGAATATCATCATCCCATTTGTAATTTATAAAGTTCTTTTGTTTAGTTTGATCAATCTTAAGGGATTGAAGGTAGTATCGAGTAGGACTTTCTGCAGAATTGGATTGATTTGTTTCTGATGATGAAACGGTGTTTTCCTGAATAAGATAAGGCTCTTCCATGAATTTAAGTGCTTTAGTAGAACCTATAGGAATCGTTAAAACTTCTTGTAAGAAATTATTTTGTAATCCAATCAAATGTTCCAAAATAGCGCAAATATATACGCCTGAATCCTTTGGCTCGACCAAAGCAAGTGCAATGGGTGATGACAAATTTATAATTGGCTTTGGCTTTTGAAGCTCAAAACACTGGAATTGATCCACATCATCGATAACCGAATTCCATGCATTAGCAAAGTCATTGAAATTTGATGTTAAGAATTTCAATTTTTCTTCAGATTTCTCATTATTAGACTCTTCATCTATAAATTGTTTAAATGTTTGTTCCTGCGCTCTTTCTCGGCTCACACGATACTCAAGATGCGATGACATTATTTGAATAAAATTTACTATTGGCCAGAGATATTTTACCTTTTCTAGTTTATCAAAGTACTTGAAAAATATAGAAATAAAAGGAAAACGCGCTTCATGCATATCTAAATCTGAATTGTAATAAGCACGAAAACCTTGAAAACTCATCATTCCTATAGACCTCCAAAGTCTTGGTAAATGTCTATGAATGTATTTCTCATCCATTGGTATTGTTTGATTGATTTCTTCCTCGATTGTGCTCGAATTTTTTTGAAGTTTAGCGAGCTTTGCACGAAATTCATCTGCAGTGTTTCTAATATTTTTAATTAAAGGAGAAATGTATCCCTGCGCAAAATTTGTTTCCCATTCTTCACGCTCTTGAGACGTCTTCAAGGCCGTATTTTTAGGTGGAGTTTGAAACATTCTATCAAGGATTGCGTGTAATAAGAAGGCTAGATTTTCTTCAGAGCAATCTAAAAGGGTTAAAAGAATTCTCCAATCATTCTTAATATGTCCCATGCAATATTCCACGCTATCATTTGCAACTTTATTATTTTTATGTAAAAAGGTAGTTGCAGTACCAGAAGGGGCCCAAGCGCCAATTATGGAATGAACGAATAAATGAAGAATTCGATATGAAATAGGAGATAATTTGCGAAGATTGTGATAGATATCCCCATTTACTTCTTCCCCAATATATCCCTTTTCGTCCTGTTTAATTGGATCGGTATCTAATTTCACATTTCCCTCGACGGAAATGTGATTTTCTCCACCAATAGGATTTTTACATTCTGGACATTCACCTCGCCAATCAGCTTTTCCACAATCACCGATAAGATAAAGATAACCACATTTACATTGATATCTATTAAAAAGATAGATAAATAAATACTTTTTTTTTAAAATATGAAATCTTTAAAATCTTACCGCGTAAATTGACCATTCTTCTGTAAAACAACACTTAATATGACAGATTTTACATCTGATGGACAAGTGAGGATGTACAAACCATTGCAAACACTCAAGTTATGCAACAAATATGCTAATGGTGATGCCTCCGCAGGAATAGACGAATGCAATGCTATAACGTGCCCGATGACAGATTTTATTAATAAATCAGAGTTACTAACATTTGTATCAAGTTGTAATACGTAATTTTTGTTTGTGATTACGTTGTCAACGATCTTCTTATAAATGTTAGATAAAGGGCTTATTTTTCCAATTTTTTCTTTCAAAAATTTTGAGGCTTGATTTTCCACACGTTTCCACTCTCTTGATGATCTTATAAAATGAAGTCGATTAAAGATTCCTCCCATAAGTGAAATTCTAGCACCCATCTCTTCTTTCTTTGAAATTTTATTTAAGAATTCATCAAACCGTTCTATACGATTATCGTTTAAAAGTATTGTGAAACAATTTTCTACGGCAGTATAATCTTTAAAGGAATAATAAACATTAAATTGTAATCGATTATAATCCCAAGGTAAATTTTCCAACCATGGTAATTTATATATTTGAGCAAGGCAGAATTTTTGAACATCATCCATGGAATATTCTCTATTACGTAGATCTCGTAGAAAATAAAATTTTAATGATTCAACCAAACCATAAGATAAATTCATATCACGATTAATTTGATTGATTAATTCATCAAAACCTTTGAAATCCAACTCAACCGGTCTTAATATTTTATCCTGAATAAAGGTATTCCAAAATTTGTGAACAAATTCTTTGAGGAACGCAATCGCTGTTATCTTGTATAAAACCTCAACATTATCAATATATAAAGCTTCAATTGCGCAATGGAAATAAGGTGATAATTCAAAAAGATCATATCGTGCAAAGTATGTTTTCTGTATAACATCACAGAATAGTGCTGCTATTGAAGAATGACAACCTTTAACTTCAACGCATGTATTGATAATTGTAAATAATGGTAAATCTAACATTTTTCTAGGATTATCTAACAAAACAAAAAATTCAAAAGGCTCATGTTTATTTTCGTTCTCAAATATGCTTTTAATGATTTGTCCCATAAGAGGGAAGGGATTTTCCAAGAATAAAGTTTGATAAAGTTCCAACCTAGAAGGTGAACCTAAAGGAATAATTTCTAAGCTCTTCATTACAAATGATTGCTTTGCATATAATAACTTATTTGGTTCAATGTTTTTAACGTTACTAAGAATTTCAAAGACTTTGTGAATATATATTTTTGTGAATATTTCTTCATCTCTAAATTCAATAATCTCTTTAAATATCTCCAATGGTATCGATTCATTTAATAATAGATCATTGCAAAAGTGTAATAATTGAAAAGACTCTGTCTTTTTAAAGTTAGAGATGTTTTCACAAAGATTCAGAACATTTCTGATATCGAGTTGTAATTCAACAATATCTTCACCCTTACTAAGCTTTTTAAGCATTAAACTAGTAACTTCATTTACAATATGTTGTTCGAAATTTTCTTTATATGCAAGTTCATCATTCATAATAATTTCATCGCGAATCAAAGGACACTCGTGAATTAGATGAAATGCCGATAAAGTCGAACTAGCATTATTCCACCAAAATATATGTAAAAGAATAGGATTTGTGATGTTCTCTCTACCAAGTTTACATTTGAAAATGTATGATAATATGGGCATACTAGTTTTAGCCTTAGCTTCACTGCTATAAATTACATTAACAAAATCGTCAAAATATAAATCTGAATTATCAAACAATGGAGAAGAGTCCAGGAGAATCATAGACTTAAAGATCTTTTTGGAAAACTCTTGAATATAATCTTCATAAATATCGTGACTGAAATATTTAGTATCTCTACCAAGTATTGACATTTCCTCTTCATATAGAGTTTTGAAACCATCAATCTGTTTCATAAAGTAAAACGAAAATGGAAATTGTAATTCAAAAACATTAACAGGCATTGTATATCTATCTGGCTTTGGATCAGGTAATGAATCGAAATTGATAACATTATTATCCATAAACATATCCTTCCAGAATTTAAGAAGTTGTTGGCTTTGTGGTGACATTTCAGATGCTGGCGTGTCATGTGTAAGGAAAGTCTTTGTAGCTCCTAATCGTTCTAGAGAATATAAAATTTTTGCAATAAGATTGCGAATTATGATACGGGTATATTCTTGTAATGCCATAGCTAACGTAGAATGTGGATATAATAACTTCTTGTTGGAAGCGACATGATATTGCCAATCAGGTTTGGTATTTGTTTTTAACCAATCCAACGTTCTTATTTTTAAGCATTTTATGAAATTTGGGTGGTCTAGAATGCTTTTGCTCAAATATCTAGTTAAGAATAAAAAAGAATCATAAACATTAAAGTTCTTTGATGCAATCAAAATTCAGAGGAATAATACTTACTTCACATGATTAATGGAATTAACATTGTCTGGGTATTTCGTACATAGTAAACACCATAACAATTCTTGTTTTAATAAATCTTTAAATGGATAAGTTGTTTCAATTATATCACATAAATTGTGTTTCAGTAAAACAGATAATGTAATTGTTTGTTTTGCCAATGATTCGATTGTGATTTGTTTCCATCCGCTCATAAAGTTGAATGAACTTACATTCACATTATTTTCTCGATGAGTATGAAGAATAATGGAAGCATGTTTAACGTTCGTTGCATTGCACTTTCGTTGTTTTTGTAAATATTCATTCCGGCATTGTTCGATAATAAACTTGGCTAATTTGATACAATCTGCATTTACAATGGAGATATCACATTGCAATATTAAGACATCATCGTCCAACTCGAACCAAAATCTGTTCACTTGTTTTTGAAATTGAGATTCGGTTTTGAATGTTGAAAGTTTCAAAGCATAACATCTTGTTACTCCTTTTAAGCATGAATTGACGTCTGTGTTGATGTTGGAAAATGTGTTAATTATGACCAAATGACCATCTTGATTGTCCTTCAAAATTTGCACCTGCAACAAATCTTGGAAATAATCTGCTATGCCATTATGATGTTGAACTTGAAAATACACATTTTTCCAATGTTGAATTTCTTCAAATTCCAAAGTAGATCTTTCAATTCGAACCATTCCATCTGGTGTAGCAATTGCTACTAGATATTCCTTGCATTTGTTAAGTATATCACGATCTCTCATCATAGGTTCTTTTTTCTTGATATCTATTATTAAGCTTTGCAATGTCTCTTCCTTATTGAAGCCCATAAACAAGTCTTTTATAGTAAATTTTGTTCCTTCCGTTCCTACTATGGTTGACATTTGCCAAGTCCATTCTTGAAGCGTGTTGACTAAATCCTTTTCACCTTTATTAAGGATATCGTTTATTGACATTCTTTGCTTTTCAAATCTATTTAAAAGTGGCGGGTCCGCATTTTTTAATTTATTTTCATCAAGAACCAGAATGCATCTGAAATCAGGATGAATGTGTCTAAGAAAAAAATAAAAATTTTAATAGAAGAAAAAAAATTATGTTATATTTTATATATTTCTTAAATAAATATAACTTACAACATAGGATTTGCATAAGCCCCCAAAGCAACTCGTGTAAAATACTTTGGATTATCGGAGCTACCCGATGTAATATAATTTTGATTCCATAAGTCGTAAAGACTTCCTAAAAAATTAAACAGTTATTGAATAAAAATACAATAATTATTTAAATAAAAAAATTTGTAAAATTGAATATTTATACCATAAATGCTTTCCAAATCAGTTAAAATCAAGGGTCGTCCGGCTTCCACACACATCTACAGAATCATTAATTTATTTATATACAATTGTATAATTTAATTAAGAAATAGATTTAAAAACTTACCATAATTTTACTCAATATACTATAGGAATAATCATCACGATCTTCTGGAAATTGTGAACCTAATATTACAACTGGTTCCAATTTTTTTTCATGTAACTGATATGCTAAAATATTTACAATCGAATCGCTTTTTCCTATAATCATTAAATGTCTAGAATGTTTGCTTTTGAGATTCTCGTGAATTAATGAATCGATAGGTATTGGGTCACGAGTCCAATTTTTGTGACCATTGAGAATTTTAATAACAGGTTTGAAATATTCTAAACAATTGTCGGTATGTTCTTTAATACCACCAAAATTTCTTACTAACGCTAAATAAAGATTTTCAGGAGTTAGCTTCTTATTTGAAAGGCTTTTTATGAGAGCATAATAATCACGAAGTCCATGAAAGTAAGGAAAAGCTTTTTGACCATTTGCTTCATAATTAGAATATGCTTCTGCAAGTGGTTTAAGAGAAGCTTCATTATGGTTAATTTCGGCAGAATCTAACAAACGAGCAGCAGTTTCAACAAGATCATCCAAATCAAAGTTTGGTCTTTGAACTAATAATGCTCTACTATTTTTACTGTTATCCAGTCTCCAGTTTGAAATTCCTATTACTGAAACTGTAGGACCATCAACTGGATAACTTGGTTCCAACAATGAATGAAGAACTTTTAAAGGGTTATAAGGACTGATTTCAGCCAATCCAACTAATAATTGAAAAATGAAAGATTAGATACATCCAGCGTAATTAGATCCTTTAACCAATTACAATATATACTTGCCTTCATCGAGTAAAACAACGCTAATAACCGGAAATTCGTCAGAACTTGTCTTCTGGTAAGCCTTCGCTTTTTGAAAAACTTTTTCAATTCCATCAGAAGTAGATGATGATGATCCTTGATGAGGAATAAAAAATGCATGAGGCAATGTACTAAAATATGTATCATTCGAATCGAGCCCTCTAAGATTCTGATATACGAGTCTGATTGCTAGTGATTTTGAAGAGCCTGGAGCGCCAACAATGAATAATGGTATTTTACACATTATGCAAACAATTGCAGCCAATACGTTCTCCAATAATGCTTCGTTAAATGCAGTATTTGGCGGACAAGTCATTCTACTCATATAGTCCATTTGCTCATCTCTTATTATGTCATTAAAACGAGTTTCTTTCATATTTCCAAATATTTTACACATCGTTTCACGATACCTTCTTCTTAACTCACGTTCATATAAGCGAGACTGATAGCATAAGCCTAATGCTAAAACATAAGATCGAATATGAATTTTCACAGAATTATCGGGATATTTTTTCTTCTCATTTTTTCGTGTTAGAAGACTTTTATTGAAAAAGTCAAACAATTTAATGGCCCTTTTAACGTCACGCAAACTAACGCTATAAGGTTCTTCAACATTACGAATAAAATTTTGTGATGCAAATAATAATTCTGCAAAGATAGGATCTAATTTCGCCTCTTGTACCATTATTTGAATGTAAATCTTTTCATCTTTTGATTGAAGCGTACCATAGTCCCATACGTAATCCAAAATTTGATCTGGAAGAGGTTTAACTTCATAAACAAGACTGCTTTTTCGATGTTCAAACGCGATCTTTTTTGGTTTCAATCCAACAGTACTAACACTCTTGTTCCGAATACGATATGGATTACAGGCGGCAAATAGTCGAATATTTGGATGGATTGACTTTCCATCAAGCTTTCGATGAGCAATCAGCTCTGCCAATAATCCTATGTGATTGCAAGTGTTTATTTCATCAAAAAATAACCAAATCTCTTTAGTTACGGCTTTTTTACCAGATTCATTCATGAAATCCTTGATAGCTTTTTCTGTAACTCCAGCATGAAGATTAAGTGAGTCGAATTCTACTTCTACAACCTTGGCTAAGAAACTAATTAAGCTTGTCTGCAAAAATATGAATAGAAAATTTAAAAAATTAAGCTGTAATAAATAAACAATGTACCTTTAAAATAAAAGTACATATACAGTACCTTTCCGCATCCCGCTTCTCCACAAATAACTACAGGAATATTGGCTCTTGTTCTCAATAACATCAATGCCATTTTCAATAAATTGTCCGCCGATAAAGCATATGGTTGATAAATAATAAAATGCATTGTTTTTCGAGCCAAACTTTCTAATATGATTAATAATTCATCTGAGGACATGGTTTGATAATCTACTAATTCCCATCTTTGGCTTTTTAGCAATTCTAAAACATTGTTTGGAACTATGTTTTTATTACGATATAAAGCACCAATTGATTCCGGGGATTGAGACAGAAAGAATACTAAAAGATGATTAGAATCATCCCAATGAACAAGATTTTCCAATTGATCCACTTCAGTATTAGTAATTGATTGTAATTGTGCAGATTTTGTTTTGGTTGATTTTGTAGCAAAATCATTTGAAACGCTAAGTAGCGTATTAAATAATGTTGATCGAATATTAATATCATTAGTCATAAATTTCAAAATTTCAACTGTAAAGAAGGAACTTCCTGATAACCTTAGTAATTGATCAGAAAGCACATTTACAAAAATTTCTAAAAATCGAAAAGATAATATGAAAGGATCAACTTTTTTAAAGAAATATTTGTTTAAAAGCGTTTGACAAAGTACTTGATCAAGGGGTTCTTTAACGGTATTATATTCACGTGATTGGTATATTACATCTTTTTTATCAAGCTCCTTCTTTTCATAAAGATCCAAATAATGGCAAACAACTTGAATTGGACTGTGTATATCTTTGGGTACCATCAATCTATCAATATTCCATACTAAATGCGTATTATTTAAACAATTAAGGAATGGGAGGGATTTGAACAAAAGGTTGCCAGCTATTTCAATAAATATATAGGTATCTGGAAGACTTGTAATATCCGCATTATTTGAAATCATTCCTAGAGTTAATAATTGAAACAAGAATATATTGACTTCTCCAGGATTATCAGCAGATATTATGTTTATATGAAAGCTATCATCTTGTTGAATATGGGAATTTTTAAGTTGTCTAATTAGCGAATTATAACTCGCCCCATCACTAATTAGAAATGAAACCGAGTTTTTGTCATTTTTAGAACTCTCCTGCTCAATGAATTTTGTTTTTCCTTGTCCGGATAATTCTGAAGTTACGCATGTAACCTTTGGACATAATTCACTATAAATGGTCTTCATTGCAACGGTGCCAAGCCCATCAGTGGTGTGAACATATTTAGAAAATTGATCCACAATATGATGATGCATTCCAGCTTCAGAGCAACATATCAACGCTAAATAATAATTATCTACCTTTTCCGTAAAAAATCTAATTTTATTTACGAGATAGTACTGTAATTCAAAATCTAATAATTCCAAATTCGCAATGCAGAATAAATGACCTTCATAACCATTTTCAGATGCAAAAAAGCATCTTTTGATAAAAATTGAAAGTTCTTCTTCTGTAGTAGATGTCATACAAATCAAAAGTTGCCAAGGTTCAGGATAAAATCCATGGTTAGCATAAAATGACATTATTATGTTAGGAACTTTTGATTTGTCATCACATGCCGCGACAAATAATTCTCCACATTTCACTTTATCTGAAATTACGCGCTCTTCAGAATTTTTCACTGGTCGTGTATTTTTCTCAAGGGTTCCAAATATGTATTCTAATCTATAGTTAATCGCTTCTAAAACTTCATCGTATTTATCCTTATTACAATATAATCCTTGAACAATTATAGGCGGTAATTTGGCTTTCCGATTGACGAACGAAACAAGTGTTTGACAGGTTTCTTTTATTTCAAATTGCTCGCCATTTTCCGTGTAATAGTCATAAAATGCTAATATGTGTCTTGCTGGATAAAACGTTAAATAATAACAATTTTCTTGTGCTCGGTTTACAATATTTTCCCTACATGTATTATAATATGTATTAATAATAACGTCTACAATAAACAAGAAAAAAAAAATATAATATTTACCAGATTTCCAAGTCAATTCTCAATCGCTTTGCTATTTTCTCTAAATTACAAGTACCTTTGGTGGATTCGTGATATTCTCGATATCCGAAATGTCCCAATTGAGTTAATTTTTTCATGATTATAATTATACTTTGAGCAATATCAACTTGTTTCACAAATTCTTCCATTTTGATTTTAATATCATCGATGTCATCATCGTTTTGTCCAATAGAACCACCAGGTTTTGAAATTAAAAGAGCTCTGCTACGTAAATCCTGCAACTCACTAATATTGAACCTCATGGTTTCTAATTTGGAAGGGTATGACAATTCCAAAATGCAATCTTCATCTTTTTCTTCTTTTTTAAATTCATAAGTACCAATCTTGACAGCATTTTGAATCTTTTCCTTTGTAACATCACCCTTGTTATAGATGGATTTGTACATATTTTTTAAAGCCATGACATTACTATTGCATAATGACAATTTACTTGCTAAAGAAGAGTTAATATCACTGAATTCCTTTAATAATGTATCCATAATTAAATTTGGATCATTCATCAATGGATGCACGAATTGCTTGATTTGAATAAGTGAAGAAATAGTGCCTTCTTGAATCAATCTGGTATCTGAATGCTCATCGACACCATTAATCAAATTTTTCAAATCTTCATCTGTTTTATCTTTTAAGAATTCAAGAAATTCCTCTGATCGTGACAATTCTTTGATAAAATCCCAACTATTCTTATTGATTTTGGAAAATTTTTGATTTATAGTTTCAACCGAGTTACTAAATGTGCCCAAATTTCCATGATTAAACAAGTTGTCAAGCCAGTTTTCATTGATTTTGAAAATCTTAATAATTTTCGATAAATTTTCAGTGCGTTCTTTCCAAACATTATTTTTGGATAAATATTTTATCGTCATCATGAACGTCTTGCCTTTATTTATACAAATCTTGCTATATTTTTCCATTAATTTTAGCTCATCATCAAAATTAGAAACATTGCACCAAAATGGTATTTCCTCAGAGAATTTGAGATTTTCCCAATTTTCGTAATGCTTGCACTTGACAGTATACTCCACTAAAACCATTTTCATTAACGTTTGTGCTATATATTCAACACTCAAATCATCAGATTCTTCATTAGATTCTTCATTTAAACGTTTTTCAAAAACATTATAAAATGTTTGAGAATTGTTTAAATCATATGTATTCTCTGCCATTGAAATTATTCCTTGATGGAAGCTCCAATGTGTTTCTAATAATGATTCTTCTAGTGAGATTTTATTCAGTTTATTACTTCGTTCTATTAATTCATCAAGATATTTTTGCACATCCTTGGTTTTTTGTAGCGGACAAAATCTTTTATAAAAATCGGCAAGTTTTTTCAACCTTTGTTCATAGAAGCGACAATTCTGACGAACCCTAACCAATATATCCTTGGTAATGATTTCTTCACTATCAAAATTCGCGGAATTTAAATAATAATGAAGGATATCATCATCAAGATCAAGCAATTCCTGAAGACGTAGAATTTTAATAGAACTGTTTTTAATGATATCAGATAACTCGATAATGGTGGTTCTAGTTTCTTGCACAAGTTGATGGGAACGAAAACTTTTTGTACAGCCAGTTGCTCGTAGAATCACAATCCAGAATTCAGTGAATTCATGCAAAGATACTTCTGAATTAGAATTCTTTTGCAAACATGACATAATATGAAGTAAGATTGTTTCACAAAATCTAAAAATCAAAGCACATAAATTTGATTATTATAAAATTTTTTTTTATTAACAAAAAAAAAAAAAAGTATCTTATAAACTTATTAATTAATCACTTACTCATTTGGTATCTCAAGAAATTTTTTACCGGTACAACCACATATAGCTTGCATTTTCATTAACAAATATTTATCACGATCTAATTCCATTGAATCGATTTTTTCTTTAATAACTTTTGTAAATAGTCGTACCGCTTCTGAACTAAAGCTTACAATTTTAGTAGTGACGGAGAATATAGATTTTTCTGAAGACCGTCTAATACGATTGGTCGTAATATCCACTAATTCATCCAATAATAACCGTTCATTTGCTAATAATTTACAGATGTTTGAAAATTTCTCAAAAACTGCGGTCACGTACTCTCCTTTATGATCCGTTGAATAAGATGATGTATGAAACATTCGATCCATTCTTTCCAAAAGCATTTTATACCATCGAGTACATATGTAAGATATTTTTTTATCAATATCTTTAGACATTTGTATCCAATTTTCAAGTAATGATGGAAACACGCTTAATAGCTCATAATCTTCTAAGGTTGACACTATTTCCAACACAATAATATAATCATCTTTTTTCCAGCATAGTTGTACAGAATTTAAAAGATCAAAAATCGATTGGTATCTGGTTTTATTCCAAATAGTACGACGAAAATTGATTAATATGTTAAGTACTTTTTTCCGAAATAGGTCAGAGACTATATCTCTAATGTCTTCAGGAAGCTCAGTAAAATTTTTATGTAAATGATCAGGGTCATCTTTAGATATAATTTTTTTAATACTTTCTATCAAAAATTGTTGAAGTTGCTTGTCATTTCTATTTGAAGATCGCCAAACGATTGATAAGATTTTCACGTTTTTGCATTGGCTCATCAACCACTACATCAAATAAATATTGAAAAAAAAAAATTATTAATCGACTATAAATACAATCAGACAAAGACGTAAATATTAAAAAAAATTAAATACCTTGATAATTTTAAAATGAATATCTTCATCAAATTCACGTGTCAGCACCATTTCAAAACAAGTTTCGATATATTTGTCATCATTACATTTAGCAAAAGTTATGTTTTCGATGAACTCATACTGAGGATCGATCTTTTGTGCAATATTAAAGATTTTGAGCCATTCGAATAATCCATTATTAATATTATGATGAATTAAAAGGTAAAGTCCTTTTGATACAATATGCCAACTATCCTTTGGAAATGTGTTTGTATCAATCGTAAAGAAAGATTGAAGCAAAGTACCAGATTGAAAATCGCTTGGTAATTCATATCTTCCGTAATTATTAGGACAATGTCCTAAAAGAAAACATAAGAAAAGCTGTTTACCAATAGACTTATCCGATAAACGCTTGATAATAAATTGAACGTTCGTTACGGATAAAGTTAATTCGCGATGCTGTTTTAGGATACTATCATAATCCCAAATAACATCCTTGATGCTTTCCAAAGTTGCGGATTCATAAATGACGTCTAAGAACATATAATCGGAGATTTTATAAATACTATGAACGTAATTGCTATTCCAAATATCAAATTTTTGACGTTGAAATTCCAACACACGATCGTCATACGGACCATGCCCTTCAAATTGTAAGTGGTATGAAGATACTGCATATTTATATTTAACAGTTTCCTTAAATCTTTTGATCGGGATACGAATAGGCTCTGAATACCAATAAGAAGAGGTATATTCCCAAACAAATTTTTTATATTGCTTAAGTTTAACTTTAGGTTGTTTCCAATTACCAAGTTCCTCTATACTACCAACTACAATAGGTTCTCCGTAACGAAACTTAGGCAAATGTACACGAAATGTGATTTCCACGGCTTCACCATCATCAGGTACTTCTTTAGTTCCCATTAAATTTTTGGCCACGGTCTTTAAGCTATTCGTAAATGAAGAAATGTATGACGGATTTCTCTTTTCATTTTCATTATTTTGTGATGTAGACCCTTCTTGATTTCTTGAACCTTCTCCAGAATTAGTAGTTGGTCGCTCTGATTCAATTTCAACGTTTGAACCTGTTTCTGAATTTTCTACATCAGATTCATCTTCGGAATCATTTTCATCTTCCCCATCATTTGATTTTTCATGAGATGACCCTGGACTAAATTCCTTGTTGGTGACATGTTCATCAGCGACACTATCTTGTTCTCTCTTGTCATTAGTTGATTGGTCAACAACTTTATTAGAGTTTGAGTTAATTTTCTTTTTTCCTTTATTACTTTTTTTGTTTTTGTTTTTGGTTTTGATTTTTTTACTTTTACCCATTGTTAAAGTGAAATATGATAAACTCTCGCAAGTTCGATATTGATATAACGCCCTTATGCATATTTTAATTCCGAAAAGGGAAACAATAACTCTACTGTGCCAGACCAACCTTATTAGGTGAAATCGTCATCTTATTGATTTGACATGGGCACTCGTGATTAATGATTAATCAAGACGATCCGTACATTGTACAAATTTATGTCGTGTTACATGTACTAGTAAAGATTTTCACAAAAAAATGAAATCCGTTAGCGTTAGAAAAAGGGAATGATATTGTGTTTTAGATGTCTTTTCAAATCAAAATGATAATGTTTTTGAAAATTAGAATTAGAAAAGCATTGAAAAAAAATTTTTTATAAGGAATGTTGAACGTATAAAAGCTTAAAAAAAAAATAACAACCACTATTGATCGAAATAGTTGTCACTGAAAATCACCGCGTGGATAATTGTGAATTCGAAGTCTTATACAATCTAACAAGAATAATGTGTTACGCGCATATATTAATAATGAACAAATCTTTCTCACCTTTCGAATAGGGCTTAAATTCCTTTAAAATGAAGGTACGTATATACAGTATGTTATGAAACGATTATCGAATACATGAAACATCAAAATGCTAATTAAGAATGGAAATTGTGTTTAAACATAATGTAATAAAATATGTTTTTAAATTATAACAAAAATTGATGAGCTTTTCTTTATAAACGTAAACGATTACACATGTTTGTCTCAATCCTTTTCATTGTAAATTAATAAGCATCGAACGTGTTTGCTATCACTAAATTTGTTGGGATAAATTATCAATATGATTCTCTGAAATAGTTGACGAACAATAATTTAACAAATATCCAAGTAAATGTATAATGGTTAAATTTCGTTGTGATCTTCCGTAGATAAAATCGAAACATTAATCGTTTTAAAGCTAATTGCTTCTGCTAGTATAACTTCATCACCAATACTGATTCGTCCAAAACTTACGGATTGATCTTTTTGGGTTTCAGTGACTTCCGAAAGTGAACTTATATTTTTTATGGACATTTTCAATTTAGACATTGCAAAATTCTTCAACAAATTCACATAAGCAAAAATGTGTTAAGACGTATATCGATCGTTATTGATAAATTAATCATAAACCTTACACTCTAATTGTCATAAGCTATTTCAGATGTAAACATTTTCTTGATTGTGATTGATTACTTGAGTTATTAAATCAAGTTCCCCTAGTAATACTGAAAGGCTCTAAAACACCAAAAACTGGAATTTTGCTTATTCTACCTCAACCTCTACAAAGTAATAAATTTTATCTTGTCCCTTTGAAAGAGCCAAATTTCGTTGATTATATGAAAGGATTCTTCATTATCAAATCAAATGGATGATATAATTTGATTGAGCATGGTCTAACTGCATTTGAAAAAAAGCGTACAGTACATTAGGCGTGTTGGGAATTCATGAGTTAGTCGATTTATTTAATACTTGAGATATCCACAAGTTCTACGTGGGATTTCTGCGACGCCTTGTAGAAATAATTTTGTAAGGTAAACCAATAAACCAAGACCACAGATGATTGTTAATTCATGAATGGCTTATTATTAGTAAAATCATGACATTGATATCGATTTAAAAAGGTGTAAATGCATTCCATCATAGTTTAAAGTTAATAAATTTGTTGAGACATTCACTAACATCAGTTTCGTCCTCTAAAACCTGTTTGAAGGTTATATTCCTTGACTATTGTCTATTTAACAGACATCACAAATTATAAATTCAAAAATTTGAACAAACTTTGCAATAATTATTAAAGTAATTTCAATCTCAGTGCGTATTTGAAAAGTTCTGAAGGAAATGATAATTATTAATGTTTGTAGAATATAAGAAACAAATCAAAGATAACCGTTCCCCATAAACTTGACAAATATTCATTTCAATACTGATTATCCATAACTAAGGTCTTATGGTCCTTGGATGATAATCGGCCGCAGTAATTATATTTTACATAATTGTGGTGACAAATTAAAGTTCCAAGACAATGTAAAAAGCGTAAAAAGCTTTCTGTACTCTACAGAATTTTCTAACTTCATCTATGAAAAATCTTTCCGGCGTAAAATCTCTTAAAGGTAAATTTTGAAATAATTCATGGCATTCATTTGA